CTTTTCCCTCCCCTATATCATCTCTCCTCCCCCCCTTCCCCATTTCCATCCCTCCCCTGTCTCCCCTCTGGCAGCCCACGCCAGGCCAGCCCTTGGAGCCCCAGGAGACCAGCACCAAAAACCCTCTGGAGGAGCCTGAACCCCCTGAACCAGACTCAGCCCCCCTGCAGGGCAGGACAGCCCCGACCCCCACGGGCCCAGAGAACACCCTGAGCCCCCCAAATGTGGGGGTTGAGGGTGACAAAGGCACGGAAAAGGAGAGCGAGGAGTGGGACAACGACAGCGGCGAGACCTCTGTGTGGGACAGCTCTGACCTGGGCACAGAGACCCTCGGAGCCCACCCGGGTGAGGGGGCACAGGGGGGCCCACAGGGGAGCCACAGCCTCGAGAGGGCCTTGGAGAGGCTGGAAGGAGCTCCCACAGGCCGGATCTCTGTCCTCACCCTGGGCTGTTGTTGCGTTTCTTTGCAGAAATCCCTCTGGGGGACCTTCCCCAGACCCGCTCCGGGCTCCAGGCCTACAGGACCCACCTGCTCATGGAGCTCATGTGGCTGCAACAGGCTATTGCCAGCAGGAAAAACGTGAGGACCTGGCCCTGCCTCTTCCCAAACAGCAGGGGCAGCCCCTCCAAAAGTGGGGCTGGCTGGGGACAATCCCATTATCCAGGGATTGGGCTGGGTGGGGACAGGGGTTTTGCTGTTTGATCTGCCCCTGGGTCTCTGAGATTTAATCATCAGTGTTTGGTTTTCTTCCTCTTCCAGTTCTTGATGCTGAAGCAGAAGCTGGGGATTCCTGACTCCTTGGAAGGCATTCCCAACCCCCTGGATGGGTGTGGGGAAGCCGTGGAGCTGCAGCACCACGGGTGACCTCAGGGGAGCTCCAGCTCCGTGGGTTGATGGTTTTAACTTCAGCAGAATGTGGCAAGAAAGCCTCTTAGCTCTTGTAGATGTGAATGTTTGGTCAGAGCAGGATTAAACACTGTGGAGCCAGGGAGGTTGTGGTGTGTGCTGGAGGAATTCCCTGTGAGGATCCTTCCACAAGGACCCCATTCCTGTTGGCTGAGCTGGGTGATCCGGGGGGAGAAAATGGAGGATGGGAAGATTTTTCACTTACAGAAGGTGCTTTTGGACTGAAATGCCTGAAGGCAGCAGGTGCTGGGACCTGCAGGAACAGCCTGTTCCTCTCTGAACTGTGTGGGAATCTGAGCTGAGTGTTTGGGAGGGCTCTGCACTTCACACCTCTGCAATATCCAGGATCTCCAAGTGCCCGCGGTGGATTTTGGGAACACTGGACCAGTGCCTCAGGGAGGTTGGGAAGTGCTCTATCTGTTCCTGTAGCTCAGGAACATTCCAGGTCCCTGGAAAAGGGACTTTCCATGTGGTGCTGTGGTTCCCCCCCGTGATTCCCCCTCTGCATTCCTGCTCCCTGAACAGCCTCTGTTGCCAGGTGGCAGATGGATCCCTCTGTTCCAGAATAGATCCCCACTTGTTTGTGAATAAAAAGCTTTCCTAATGCTCCTCTTTGGATCTGTTCCTGTCTGGCTTCCTGCCTTTTCCTGGGCAGAGCCAAGTCCTGTTTTGGCCCATGGAATCCGTTTGGGACAAAGTGCCCACTGGGATGTGGGTGCTCATCTGATCCAGGATGGGATCCTTTGCACTTCTCCTGAGGGGAACAGATGATGCCAGGGTGGTGACAGCCCCTGGGCAGTGCTGCTGTGGGTGGCACAGGAGCTGCTGCCAGGAAGATCCTGATCTATAAATCCTGGTCAGAGCCTGGTGACTCCAATACTGGGCCCCCGTAGTGGTGGTTGAGGATTGAAGAGCCCTGTGGTTCCTGGTTCTGGGGCAGAAAAGTGCTCTGCAGGTGTTTGGTGTGGCCTCCCACGGCTCCCTCCTGCTGGGTTTGCATCCATGGAGATGCTCTGTCACGCCTGGCTGGGCTGGGAAGGGGTGGGACAGCAGAGCCCAGAGCAGCTGGTCAGAAGGGTTTGGGATCTGGGGAGCTGCTTGGAGAGGTTTAAGCTCAGTGGGAGGCTGGTCAGAAGGGTTTGGGCTCAGCAGGAAGGATTTGGGCTGGTTGGGAGGGTTTGCTTTGGGCTTTGCAGGAGGCTGGTTGGAAGGGTTTGGACTCTGGGGAGCTGGTTGGAAGGATTTAGGCTGGTCAGAAAGGTCTGGGCTCAGCAGGAGGCT